TATTTGAAGTATTTAAATTTTAAAATTTTTAATATTGGATTCAGGCTTTGAATGTATGAATGTATTTTATTGTTGTGTTTACAATGAAATACAATACCTATACCGGCGATTCAATACAACAACATAAAATGAAATAAAATAAAATAAAACGGTCAACTACTTTGACCTACTGCAAGTATGTTAATTAATAAGGTGAGCGATGATGCATGTCAGTGAAATGGTCATGATGTAGTAATCTCAATAGGTGGGATCTTTTTTAATAGAACGCTTTGTATGTTGCATGACGAAGAAAAGCTGAGCATTCAGTGACCTTGTAGCGGCGATTTTCGCCGCTTTGCATGAGACTTTTGTTCGTAGTAAATACGCTAACAGTGTTGCTCAGTTTTTGTTATATTTATAAAGATTTTATGCGACAACTGAAGGCGTTTCCGCCGTCCTTCTGTCATTTTTGTGCCTGTGAAATGTCCCCGGGGTGGGGGCATTTGATCACCTGAATGGACCCTAGTGTGGGGCATTTGAACGGCATTTTGGCCCGGGTAGGGGGGAACTTGAACAATAATTTTCAAAAAAGTCAAATGCCCGGGGGGTTGCCCGGAGGGGTCATGTTGAAGCTTCGATTTGACCGATACATAAAGCCGTGATCCACAATTTTTTATACCCCGTTCTAGAAAACGCCTCAGAAATGGATACCCCGTTCGAAATCAGGAGCTTCAAAATCACGACGCCGTTGGGCGGCACATACACGTATAGGTAATGTATGGGGGTACCCCCCCCGGGGGACTGTGACCGGGAATTGCCACTCAAGAATATAAAAAAATCAAATCGGTTTTGTTTTGGCTGGATTGTACTAGTGACCTCACTCTAGGGTAGGGGGGATTTGGGGAGTTTAGTCTAGTATTGGATAGCAAAATTCAGCTGAACTACAGTCTCAGACAAAAATAGTTGGGACAGTTAACGCAAAAGCCTTTTTTCCCTTCCCGTGCTTCCCTTTTCCCTTCCAATGTTGTTTATTGTGATTCAGTGGGCAAATCGTGTACACCAGCATTGAAGGGAGGAGAACACACAAAAACGTCCCAACAATTTTGACTGAGACTGTAGCTCTGGTATAGGCTAAGGGTTCCAGTATCCCGGCGGCACACCCCCACCCAAAAAGTAAAATAACCGCCCCCCCTCCCACCCGGGGAGGGGCTCCATAGTAGGGGAAAATGAATGGTAAAAAACAGGGTGAAACAGCAACAAAAAAATCAGCGGAAAATGCTCCCTTCGTGTGTGCACACGTCCTCAACATTATTCCCTTTACCCTAACAACAAGCACCTGCTATGCAGGATAGACATTGAAAGAGCAAAAAAGCAAAGAGAAAAGTCAATATTACAATAACTGCTTTTGAATCGTATTTGCTTCATTTAAAATAAAATGCTTTAGGCTATACAGTAGTATTCACATTATTTTTAATTAAGTCATATTAAAGTTTGCTTACCATCAGAAAGGACAGTAGAAAGGCTTAAGATATCAATCTCTGCCTTCCCACCTCTAAAGAAAGATTTTTCCTCTGGGGTAGGTAGAGACTTATAAGTTCTTTTAGCCTGTTCAAGTCTCCCCTGCATAAAATATTTAATAACCAGAATTTTGATTAAGTTAAGTTTAACTGGCCTAACACACACCTCATCATCAACTGACAACAAATTGGTCAGTGAACAAGGTTAAAAGTGGCTATGAAGGAGCTATCACATGGTGAAATTAAATCTGAGTTGCCAAAACCAAAAATGGGAATTCTCAATGACAATAACAAATTATTCACAAAAATAAGTGATAGGACATCAATCCTGCAAAAACACTTATTCTCAAAAAATTTTGCAAACTTAAAATTACTTCTTGAATTTCTTGAAGAATAATTGATCATTATTTTAAAATGCTCTATCAAACACTCGACACTGTTCCATGTGGTATCCAGAGAACTCAAAGTCAGTTTAAACAAACCCTGGAAAAATGCCTGGATCAAGTTGTTCGAAGGCTGATAACTTTAACCTGGATTGCTCTATTTTTTTTTTTTAATAGTATTTTCTTGGATAATTTTCTTGTTACTTTTTAGAGCATCCAATCATCGAATTGCCGACAAAAAGATTTAATCTGAATTTGCTTCTTAAGCTTTCCTATCTGAATTCAAATTTGGCACTAACCCTGGGTTATCTTAACCCTTTCCATGCCCTGTACCTCGTTTTTTCAACCCACTTCTCTATATCTGGATATCAGATGAAACAATGCATTTCATTTTGGTCTGCCACTTCAAAAACTCATTAATAATTATTCATAAAGAAAAAACAAAAGAAATTAATGTTTAATGAATGTCTTTATATCTGATAAAAACACGGCTAAACTTTACATCCAATTTTTTAGACCAAATAACCCCAAATCTAAATATTACTGCAGGAATGAGTTGATCTATATCAGAGATTTTGAAGCTGTTCAAAAAGCTCGCAGTCATGTATTATCAGGCGTAAAAACTCTCAGCTTCACCTTGAGTTTTTAAACCTGATAAAACACTCCTGCCGTTTTAAACAGTGCTCTAAGCATTTCTTGGCATTCACCGGTCTTTCCATGTGAAGGCACCTTCATACCATTCGAAAATCATATCTGTCAACTAAGATCACTAATAATCTAGCACACACCACGTCATCTACACCTATGATGTTTAGAAATGATGACAACTATAGCTTAGCTGTTATAACAAGCAAGAACCTTTGCCAACTAATGTGAATGTAGCTATTATTGCAGCTGGTGAGATTTGAGCCTTCAGAGAAGTAATTGGTCATAAATCATTGTAGCTTCAATAAAATGGAAAGTCATTATCAACATCCTATGATCCAGAAGGTTTAAAGGTGGGAGTCAGTAAGGAATTTAAAAAGTGAAACTGTCACATTTTGCCTGGAACCCAAATTGCTGTAATGAAATCTATTTCAGTAAAGAGACAGTTTATATTTTGATGTTGGAGGAATTCAACTCAGATACAAAGTTTGTATCTATGCCAAAAGAATATCTAAGGAACTGGGGTAGGACTCACTCTCCCCTCCCCCTTCCTGATCTGCCCTGGTAAGGGAAGGCTCTAAAGGTAGGGAATAAATAATATTAAGAATACCTTCCCCTTATCTTTAGACTAGGTTATTAAATAGCAAGGAAATCTGACAACTACAAAAAAGTACATTAAGGAGCTAAAGCAAATAGTTCTCAAAATTATTTTAAGACTTTTTCTCCAAAGTAAATACAAAAACAAGTGAAAGATGTGACACTCAGTATGTCACAGCCATGAAACAAAGAAAGAAATTTGCTTCTCCATAAGAGTTCAACTCAAAAGACAAATTTCAAGAGTTTGAAATCTGAGTTCAGAGTTGTCTGCTCTTTGTCTCAAGCTCATGACATACTAAACTTATTTTTTAAGCTTATTTACCACCTTGCTGTTCTGAAAGTTAAAAATATGAATGCCACATTTTTATCTGTCTTCACTGCTAAATAAAAAATTTCAGATCAGAGCAAGCTGGATTTCCCTGAAAAAACAACACATATGGTAGTTTCACTTTGAATACTTTAATGATATTAAGTCTCAATAGATGACATTCTCTTTGAGACAGAGAGAACTGCAAAATTATTGTATTGGTCAACCCACATGTCACTACCTTGAATGCTGATAAAAACCATAATGGAACATACATGTCATTTTTGCTTTCCATTTTATGAAACTACTATATTATATTGTCTAATTTATTTACCCCTAGCTTAGGACAAAAAATTAAAAATATATCTAACAATAATATTCCTCAAAGTAGCTTTCAGGGGGTTCCTTTAATATTGACTGTAAACTCTAGGGAAAGGAAACCCCAAGCACCAGGTAGAACAGTACATTGTATTCTAGTTTGTCTGATTTCTCCTGGGTGTGTCAGTAGTGTTAATTTAACTCTAACACCATTTTATAGGGTCTTGATTCTAAATAAGTGACATAGTCGATACTTCACAGACACAAGGCATGCCAGAACCATGAAAAGTACCATGTCAAGAAGCCAACATCATTAAAGAGCCACTTGTGTTCAAACTTGACCTTCAACACTTCATTTTTCCAATGGCCAGCAGCAAATGCACAGAGGAAAATAATGATTAAAACTTTCCAAAATACAAAATACAACATTAATAACTTTTCTCTGTTACTGAAGAATGACGTTGTTCAAGAGATTTGCTCAGCACAGTTTGAAAACAGTTTAATCCTAATCATGAAAGCTCCCAGTCTCTTCCTCCATTCCCTATAGTCCTGCAAGGTCCTTTTCTTGAATCCTAACAACCACTTTCCATATGAGTGCTATTTCAGCACATTAACCTTGAAAAGCTCGTGCCCTGTCAATTATCAACGACATTCCCACACTTTAATTGTCATGTCGACACTTCCAGTTAAAACAAAAGGTGCTGACTTGTGGAAATCTGCAATGAAGACAAACAGCAAATGAGAGATTGAACAGTCGTGACAGAACCTGGAATTCTTTTAACACAAAGCAAACATACAAAAACTTCTTATTGTTCCTTAGACATTTGCAAGGGGTGAAGGGTCAAGCAGCTATCTTGAGCATTACATTGTTTTGTCCATGATTTCCAAAAAGAGAACTCAAAGTGGAACAAAATCTGTGTGATTGGAAATCTTTCAAGAAACAATAGGGAGCCTCAAAAAGACATAAAAGACATTTTCAGGGGTTTCAATAAGCACCGACGGCCGACGAAAGGCATCGGCTACTTTGCTCATAGAGGTTGGCTACTTTTTTTTAGAAAGAAGAAGCAACTGGTTTGAATAACATTGTAAACGAAAAATATATCATAAAATCTGAATGAAAATTTAATTACGGTGCGTTTTCATAAAGGCCCCCTGGGTTTACATTATGCTTTAGTCATGTGAACGCCATATTTCAATCATTTTTTCACAAGTATATTTATAGGTTTACCCACAATTTGTTTACATGCAAAAGTACATAATTTAGTTTTCATCATTTGTTCATTGCTTGTAGGAATTGATTGTGTGACTGATAAATAATTTGAAAGCTGCATTTTCTTGAATGAAAAACACGCTCTTTTGTCCACAAATTTAGTCCCCAGAAAGCTGAAAATCGCATTTCAGGGCTTTGAAATGTCAAATTTTCTGGAGCAGAACTCGCCCAGTCTCCCCCTCAAAGAAGGGGAACAATGGCCCCTTGTTCATACAGTCAGTTACTCGATTCAAACCTGCTGGCTACTACAATTTTTATTGAAACCCCTGCATTTTTGAGAATGCATGTCAACGACAAGTGAGACCTTTTCCCTTTTATTACGAATCAACTCGACCACATTTATATGGCTAAGTGCCTTTATTTTGGAATTATTATTGACTAGAGGATTTGCCCAGAAATTTGGGAAAATCAGTGCCCAACAATGCAAAAATTGCACTAAATGTTGACATGCATCACTCAAAAATGCCTTTGCTAGAACTGCTTAACTTTGCATTGGTGTAGGATAGGTAAAGGTCCACTAAAAGTTTATGTAGCCCAAATGGATGGAGTTAAACATGGTTTTAAAAGCGGCAAGGAACTTACCTAAGGTTGTTGCAAAGTGTTCATGAGCGGTAAGAGTTTTAGCACATCGTTTATTTTTGTAATCCCATATTCTAAGAGTTTTGTCATCAGAACAGCTAACTAGATATTTGCCTCTTGGATGAAACATCACCCCACGCACCCAATTATCATGCCCCACCTGTTAGAAAAGAAGAGGGAACACAGTATAAGAAGAAAGATGTAAGGAGTAACTCTTGGTTAATATATACTAGAATAATCTCATCATGAAGAAAAGTATATTTACACTTTCAATGTAAATGTAGTATCAATGGGAAATTCTTCATGGTGGCCAGTAAGCCTTAGAAGACTGCATCATAGCCACCTGGTTAGCAATAAGCCCAACTGCAGGCACCCATCAAAGGTATTGGATCAGTCTCAAGTCCTCATGATGATGATGATTACTACCATCATCATCATCATAACCATAACAAAATTCCCTTATCTGATTGGCTATCGGCAGCCCTAATTACAGCATTGATAAGAAGTGTTATAGGACAGTACGTGTCGTTGTACACACACACTTTTATAATTTATTTTTTTCACTTCTAGCAAACACTTTTGAACAATCTTGTGCTTTAATTTTAAGTTATCACAAAATTAACATTAGTAACAGAACTTTGTCTTGTCTTTGTCTCTACTCATACTCCTGCCAAAACAAATCCGATTCCCACTAAGCAGACATCCGATTTTGTTTAATCAGTTGTATGATGCAGAGATGTCACTAAGATTTCAAGTTGCCAGGTAAATACAACAAGTAGGCAGGGAATAAGACAGCCAGGGATTTCTTTTGGTTCTATTTGTCTTCTATTAACCGGGGGGCACATTCATAGCGGGGCGAAATCCCTGTCTGCCACCTCTTAATGACAGCCCTAATGATTTAATACCAAATTGAACTCCACTCAGTTCTTTATCATCATTAAATTTTAGTTTTGATTATTATTATCTCCCCATAAAATTAATACACTTGCTTACAATGTTATTTTGTAACACCACTTACCAAGGTCATAAGACACACTCCAGTACTCACATCCCACATTCTGATTGATTTATCACGAGAAGCTGATACTAAAAATGGTCCAGGATTTCCTCCTCTTTTTGGACCCTGTTCAAAAATTGCAAGCAAATAAAATATCATTTTAAAATATAATACTGAAAACCTGTAATATCTCTAATATTTATGATTTACCCAAATAAAGAACTAATTGATAAATAAAAGATCTGGGAAGGCGCTATGTAACTCCCATTCTAAAATCAAAATAATTCTCCCTGTGATTTACAACCATACATAAAGAAAATGAGAACGATAATCTAACACTTTATCAGAGGTCACTTTAGGCTTGATTCCAGACACTGCTTTATCCATTCTGTACTTATGTAAAATAATGGAAATTTTAGAACATGTATCTGACACAACAAAGGAGCAGAGTTAACATTTTTGGGAGACAGACATGTTTAAGATCTTAATGCAAAGTTTATCAAGAAAAGGTAAAAGTCATCACCAATATACCACTAAAATTGGCCATTAATATTCTTTTCCAGGAGAATAACAACTTTTATTATATAAACACCAATGAAATACCAGGTGATCTTTCGCGCAAAAACATTATATCTTCACACATGAAAATAACGCGTTATTTTCACATGTGAAAATATCACAGTTGTTATGGCCACATAATAAATCGCGCCTTTCGCAGGAAAAAACTGTTTCCATGAAATGGTTTGGTATTTCATTGGTGTTTATATAATAAATAGAACATTACTTTGCCGCTTGGAGATATGAAATTTCTCTTCTCATGTTGAAAATATTTCACTCGTTCGCTGCACTTACTCATGAAATATTTTTCATCACTCAAAGAGAAATTTCGTATCTCCGCGCGGCCATGTAATATCCTCTATATATTAAGATCAGATATTAATACAGTCAACTCTCTCTGAGAAGAACACCTTAGGGATCCGTACTAAGTGTCCGTCTACGAGTGATGTCCACCTTATAAGAGTCAAATAAGGGGAGTAAAGAAAGCAGGGACCAACTCTAGGCATCTGTTTTACTGCAGCATCCGTCTTATGGGGGTGTCTGTTAAGAGAGAGTCAACTCTAATCTAAAACTTCATGCCCCCTGAAAACCCGAAGAAGAGAATTACCTCAATTCCTGCCGCTTCAATCACATAAGGGTTTGCAGCTTCTGGGGCCCATGACACATCCTCTACTACATGTTCATGATCTCTCAAATCACATTTACATTCTTTTGTTGCTACCACCCACACACGGATTGTCTGCAAAGAAATTTGCAATTTGACATAAATTTCCACGCCGTTTTGCCAACTACCATGGGAGTAAATACATGTAAAAAATATGCAATCAATTGCTGGCATACAATTCTGTAGTTTCAACTTTTCAATCCCTATTATCGACGGCAAAACTTTAAAGATTCCACACTCCATTGAGTTACGAAGCAACTCAAACAAACAAACTATATGTTAGTTCATTTAAGTGGTCATGCTATAGATTTCATCCACAGACACAAAAGTCAACATTACAGGCAACTCTTCCTCGAGGCTGATTTATATGGGACAACTTTGTTACATTGGATGTGCTTTAAAATAAACCTTCAACCCAAATCATAGCCTGTAAATCAAACTTTGAATAGCTGCAAGTAAGTTGTAAGTGAGATATACATGATACAACTCATGTCGTAGGATTATTGTAACACGTTGAATGTGAGAAAGTTGTGCCATGTAAATCGCTCTTCAGAAATATAACACTTATACATTGTAACTGCTTGCCCTAGTGAAGTGTATACTGTATACTGTTTATTGGTCAGTCAAAGAAGAGGACTGAGTGGCCATGCTAAGGATTCATCCACAGACACAAAAGACAACATTACAGGCAACTCTTCCTAGAGGCTGATTTACACGGTACAACTTTGTCACATGTGATGTGCTTACAATAGACCTTCAACCCAATTCATAGCTTGTAAATCAAACTTTGGATAGCTGCAAGTAAGTTGTCAAAAGATTCTTGTAAGCACATTGCATGCAAGAAAGTTGTGCCAAGTAAATCGGTTTTAAGAAGATGCAGTTGGAAACAGCACTTATACACTATAACTGCTTGTCCTAGTGAAGTGAATACTGTATACTGGTCAGTAAAAAAAAATGACTGAAACGTAGCAGAGACCAAATCTAGGTCTTAAGTACAGTGTATGTTACTAAAAGAGAACAAAATGTACATGTTATTCACATTTCCACAGGGTAAAGGTTTAAGTATCCACTGACATTATGTCACTCAATAAATACATACAGTATGCACCTTAAAATTTCTCTTAAACTATACTTTAAAATATTATAAAGAGGGAAAGAATATAGAAGTAGGTTTTTTTACCTGATCATTTGAGCAACTTGCTAACAAAGAACCTGATTGTGAAATGGAAGCAACATTAAAAACCCATTAATTTTAAAGTTGCAAAATTTTAAGAATGCAAGTTCATCACTTCAAGAATATGTTGTATATTAATATTTAAGTAATTTAATATTAATTGTAGGTAAGTTTAGTAATAAACTTTAGGTAGCATAATGTTATTATAGTGTCCCCAACTAGAGAGCATCATGGTAAGCAGGAAATAAGACAGTCTAAGTTTTGTTTTTAAGTGATTGCTTGGTGTTGATATGACCATCAGTCATTTCTAAGTATCTCTGACATAAAACCTAAACAATGTTGTGAACTATTAGGGACCTTAAGCAACAAGAATGTCAAAAATGGCAGCGGAAGTTGATATTTTCTCTCTTTCAGTGCTACCTCAACAAATTCATACAGCAGGAGTTAAAACAAAGACATTCAGAGTTGTGTGAGACAAAAGTGTTCCATCAAGTGAGACATAGATCTTCCAGTCGCTATTCATGACGTCCAGGATGTCAGCGTTCTCGTTGCTTAAGCTTACTATTATTTCTTCATAAAACAGTCAACTGGATGAAAAAAGGAGGGTGAGGAGAATTCTATAACCTCCAAACCTTGAAAATGATAAAGCGTGCAGAACTTACCATCATTGCTAACACGTACTCTTCTGACCCACTCTCTGTGACCTTGGAAAGTCTTCACACAAAAACTATAAAATCAGATTACACCATGAGTTCACCCATTAGTGAGGGGAACAAGGGTAATGAAGTGGCAAGTTACAAATTACTAATGAAGACTCACAAATTTATAATTATTTGATGTTTTAAGGTTTACATTATCCACAAGGAAAGTGTGCCGGCAAGTGACAGATAAATAACTATATCCATCACTTATTATCTTTGGTATTTCCATTTTCTCAATGACAATAACAAACAAAGTCAGCCCTTAGTGACACTTACCCGGAAGCAACTTCCCACATTTTTATAGTTTTATCTCTAGATGATGACACTAAATAATCTCCTGATGGCAGAAATGTCACTGACGAGACATTATGGTCATGTCCTGTTTTTTGTTAAAAAAGAAAGATCTTCATCAATACCATTTCAGAAGAGAACAAACTCAACAAAATTTCAGGCAGACAGTTTTTTAAAGACTTGTTCAAACTTTAGTACACAAAATTAACAAATCACGCACAGCAAAAAAACACACCCACCAGTTAAAGTTTTGACGCACTCAAATTCGTGGAAATCCCATAATTTAATGGACATGTCAGCAGAACATGACGCTAAAATAACAATAAATATGATAAGTATCAGTCAACTACCATACTGTCCAAGCAACTATGAATATTAATTTACAATTTTAGTCACACGCAGGACAAGAGGGTATAACTAATATTAGAAAAGGTTGGCACTTTATCAAGGGATGCTGTTAGTTTTCCTTTAACAAAGTGACATCCTATTTTGACAAACTCTTCCTATCGAAAACATCGCCAACATCCTCTTAAATTTTAAAACAATTATTTTTGGTTTTGTTCACAAGATCTTGAACATTGGATCTATTGGTTTGGGTTCAAGCCTTGCCATCACATTGGTATAGGATTTAATGGAGCCAAAACCAATTGTGGAATTGCACGCATTTTAGGCATCCTACTGATGAACAGTTGCAACACGTAGATATATACATTTTTAGCAACTACTATAATTTGCAGTCTGTCCACTTTGAATTGATTCCTAAACAAAAAATTTGCTCCACATGTACCATGGCTTACAAGAGGTTTCAGCTGTAGCACATTAACTGGAAACACTGTTCAGTATCTTGGTTCTGTGGCTCATAGGAGGTGGTCCCTTGAGAGAAGCTCACGCATGCAGTTTTGACTGTATCTAACAACATTAGTCTCCAGCCAATATTGTTTGTGATAGCAATAGAAGTCAGAATCACTAGCTCATTGTAGAATCGTTTTTACCTAATATTTTTCCGGTATGATCAAATGATAGATCCTGTACAGCATCTGTGTGACCCTTGTCCCAGGCAAGCTTCAGAGGTCAAAGTATCAGGGTTTGAAATTGACATCGTAGAAGACTACGACAATGGTACTGTGAAGTGTCCCTTTTTATTTCCTTTTTTATATCTACAGTTGCTGTAGAGAGAAGTGTAAATATAAACAAAAAGGTTGTACAGACTGTAGATCGAATTCTCCAAAGCAACAGCTACTAAGTACATATCCCTATCTAAACAATACTTAACCCTCAGAACCAACAACAGAAAATTGTTCTTAATTCTAAACCTGTGGACATCTGAATCTTTTGGGGATACCTCTTTCAATCAGGGTCATGGAAAGATAAAAATTTGTCAGCCCCACCAATGCATTTTTCACTTAACCCTTTAAGCCCCAATATCCACATACACATTCTCCAAACTGATCTCCATACATCTCCTTTAGGAATTAGTTGAGAGAATTTGATAAAAGATCTTGCAATTTTCTCTATGGTGATCATTTTATTAATTCTCATAACTTCATCTCTTGAAAATGTATGGATATTGTTAGGAGAAAATTAATGTTGGTCACTATTTGGACTTAAAGGGTTAAGAAATGACAAAGGGAACTAGAGTCAAAATGCATCCTGCAAGTATCTCTGGGATTATTACTGGAGACGTACTGGCCAGCTATTAGCCAATTTTTTCCCCTGTCTCTAGTAACAGTCTCAGAAGTCTTTGCAAAAGTAAACTTGGCTTAGTTTTCTTCTCTTCTGACAAAAGACCAAAAAACTAAATTAACTCAATTTACAGTTTTACTGCAGTATATACTAAAAGTTTTACCTATACACTGGGTGGAATAAAACTTTGGTAACTGGGCTTCTGTGGCCAGTCAGAGCATATCTGTCACAGAAAAAAAGTCACATTAAAGAATTGTCAGACATTTTAAACCTTTTTTTTAAATAAGAGAGAGACTACAAGTGGAAGAATGTAAACATGTGACAAAGAGTGTACAGATGACAAAGAAAGTATTCACAACAAAACCCAAAAGGTCCTTGACTTTTTGCTACATTCATGTAGGAATTACAACACACTTACGCCGTCAAACCAAATCAAATAATGTCTGCTCTAACCTTTCTGGAGGTCTAGGCATCCAGTCTTCTGGAGAGCGGTTTTTGCTCACTACAGACCCCGTATTGGCCTCTTTCTCTGCCTCTGACAATCTGGCTTCTAAATCCATAACCTAACGGGATATTTGAGAAAATACAATTTAATCATAATGCAGCCAGTCATTTCTCCATCTATATACCGATTTGTTAAAAGCAAGATTTAGATTTTATTTTTACCGGCGTGCAAAGAAAGTTGTGTCTGCTAGCCCGAGGCTACTAGATTTTGCTATTGGGGCTCATGAATTCTGTTGTTACTTACTTGTAAAGTGTTTTGGGGAACTCAAATAACAGCAAGAAGTGTAATCAATCCTGTTCACAAATTTTCTTTTTTTAACTGACAAAAGATGGCACCAAACGTTTTTACTGCAACAAGCCTTTGGGTGGGTGCAAGTCAGCTGAAAACAGCCACTTTGTCTCTACAAATAGCTAGTCACGAAATACTTTTGGAACAGCCCTCTTTGAAAAGCAACACACTGAGTGCTCCACTAGGAATTTCATATTCAGCAATTTTGTTACCTCTGCGTCCTGCATCGCTGATACCTAAAAATGCCGAAACATGCAAAAAAATTCATAACATGCATCCCATAGGACGCAACATTGATTGATCAATCTGAAGATTGTTTTTATAGAATATCCTGTCCCTGTGATTTCTGCAGTTGTTTTTGTGACTGTTATGTAAGTGTAATGCATACTTGTTTTAGTCTTTTTTGAGCTTTAAATAGAAGGAATATATTTTCAATGCAGTAAACTGCAATAAAGAGTTTTGGAGTCTGTCCTCAGATTAACTGTCTGGTTACATAGAGGCCCAAGCATTTTAATTTTAGGACTTTTTTTTTTAACTGGGACTCGATGGTTCTCATGATTTTTCATAAGATGAGTCCCAGGACTCACCATAACATTACTATTTGTAACAAAATCACTGCATATTGGGAATCAATTTTATCCTTGGTCAATCTTTTCCCCTTTAATTGAGGAGGGCAGGGTAATGTATAATAATGAGGTTAAAACCTAGGAAAATAAATTTTAAAACCAAGGATGAAAATGAGCCACAACATACATATATGACTTGTCAGTAACTGTGCTGTCCTCATAAAATGTCCTAGGATTTAATGGAACTTAAACCAATATGTGGAAATGAACACCTTCTACGTAGATCCTTCTGATCAACAGTTAGCACATATAGGTAACAACAAAATTTGGTCTCTGTTCCCATAAAATGTCTGCAGGCTGGTAAAGTCAAGTACTTATAAAGTAATACACTCAAACCTCTATAAAGCAACCACCTTAGGCCCAGGGAAGGGACAAGACGTCGCATTATAGATGTTCTGTTTAGCCAGTGATTTACTGGATTTTTTGTGCTAGGACTTGAGTAATGGTACCCTGAGGTACAACGCAAACCAACCTTTTTCTGAAGACGAATAACAGAAGTCCATTTCTTTTCTAACAAACCACTATACTTTTTGTCCAATTCTCCAGGCTAAAAATAGAAAGCAACCATGAGATAAGAGCTACTTTTCTTTCTCCACAGAAAAATTCCTAGGACTAAAAGGTTCTTATGCCAGGTAAGAAAGGAGGTCACATGGAATATTTATCTTTTTATGACGTACTTTATATTCAATATTGTCGTTGAAAGCTAATGATGTGACCATTCATTTCACATGAAACTCGTTTACCATCAGTTTGTACAGATGGTTCGCCATTTTACTTGAATTTTTGTTTGCTTTTAGTACTCTAAGGCACAGCACTACTATTGCTTGTTTTGCAACAGGAATGTTGCACCCATTCGATGACTACCAGCCAGGTGGGAACAGTAATAATCAATTAATCAACATCTGCTACAATAACAAAAAAACATGCACCCCAAAACCTTCAGTTAAGTTGTCAAGAAGAAAGATTTTCTTTTTTAAAATAACTTGAGCAAAGATATGTTCTGACAGAACATAACAATAAAAAGAGTGGAATGATGTTACGTTGTATCCCTGTGTGAGCGACTAAAAACTAAAAGGAGGTACTGTGACACTACAAACTTCTACCCCTTTGCCTTAGGGAGAAAAGATTACACAAAATCCCCTGGAGGATTAAGTCAACTAAACATGGGAGATAAAAGGTTAAGAACTTTGATTACAAGGATATTTGACAGCATACAGCAGCAAAACAAAGTGTAAGCGAAATAAACAAGAAAGTGATAAATTCGATTCTCACCATATTTGCATCTTTCTTGAAAGCATTCAGGGCATCTTCGAAGCCACATTGGAAAAGATAGTCAGCAATGGCTTTGTGTCTGAAGAATAAACTAGTAGTTAGAAGGTGACAAAAGTCAGAGAAAGGAATATGAACGTGGAGAGGTTGAAAATACATTGTTCACGGGAAGTGAAACCTGCAAGAGTCCACCTTTGTCTGTGATCAACTACAATGCGCTAATCCGCAATGATCCGTCAGGGCTTTGAAAAAATATCGACATAATTGCGGTAAACGATGTTTCATAGCACGACATAATTATTGTAGGAGGTAGGACACTAATCTATGGGCACAGAAAGGGAAAGGTTAACTTGCCAGCGCAACCTCGATCTGGAAACAAGCACAACTCAATCAATTTACAAGATGAATAAATCAAGTTTTCCAAACCCACACAAACTTACAGTTCTTCCTTCTGTCTGGGAGTCAAAACCATGGCTCAAAATTGTCCTAGTCTTTCCTAACAACTTTTTTGTTCAAATCAAGAGCATCTATGATCTTGAATTCCACTGAAAACATTCCTTTATGAGCGATCTGTGTACAATAACCATCGCGCTCACTCCATACTACAAGCGACACCCTCGCTCTGCTAGATTTCCTGTGAGTCATAAAACAACAAATGGATGCAAGGTTAGTCGCTTGAATCTAAAGAAACTAAGCACACGACGTTATACTGCCCAAAATTTATACCGGCAAGGGCATCGTAATATCTTTCAGCAAAAGAAGGTCACTGTACAAAGTTCTCTAACCGGATCAGTTCTCAAAAACTTTGGGTCTTGTAGATTGACATATGGTTTTCGCTATACGCGCATTGTTTATTGTACAGCTAAATATAATGAGAATTCAGAAGAATGAAGCTTTACAGGAAAAAATAAGTGAATGTCAGATTGCCACAGAGTCATAATATTACGCATATTTTAAGAGAGACATGGATAACCCACCCATGGTCTGAACTAACTATGCGCTGACTCTCCCAATTGGAATTACGTCAGTTCCCGCAATTATTCGAGATCTTCGTAGAAAATAACTCACCTCACGTTCAGTTTGCCTTCTGTGCTCCTTCTCACCGTTTTCAGCGGCTCTTTGACCGCAATAATCGCCAAAGAATCGCCTCTTTCTCTTTCACAGTCTACCAATTTTTGAAACTCAAACACCGCTTGATTTCAAGCACTTCGTAAAAACGGCCAGCCCATGATGCAAAGCGACTATAATGCGCATGAGCAGCCAGCCAGTGACGCATTGTACCCTGGGTATTATCCATCATGGCCGATGCTGGCGCACGAAAAGCTTACCGAAATGTGGTATCGTCTTGCGATCATCAGGCCTTAAAAGAATGCTTAGACAGGAACAACGGTGACAGATCTAAATGCATTAAAGAATGGGAAGACTTTCAACGCTCCTGTGCTGAAAATAAGAGGTGCTTTTTAGTGAATGTTTTATAAAATCAAATGGGTTCATCCTCGGTGTAAAAACCTGTGAAGTTTTTCTTTGTTTTCTAGCTCTTGTTTTCCTTGTCTCTATTGTGTTGACTTCTCAGTGGCTTCGTGAGTTTCATGTACGTTTTTCCACCAAGTATGAGCCATGAAATGTCACGTGCCAATGAGAGGACAGCAATTCAGTCGTGGTGTGCAACAAATGCAGACTGCATTGTTAACAATGTTGTGAAATGCTCTTAAAACTATCGCTATCACTATAAGAGCCACCCAGTGGATATGCCAAAATAAAGCCATTATCATTATCATTATTATCATTATTATTATTATTATTATTATTATTATTATTATTATTATTATTATTATTATTATTATATAGTGTTTTTGAATGAATAGTTTTTTCTTTTTTTTAAGCAAATTAATTGTAAATAGGATTTTAATAGTTTTTTAATAAAATTGTCTATTATTATTTTATTATTATTATTATTATTATTATTATTATTATTATTATTATTATTATTATTATTATTATTATTATTCTGTGCATGTCTCACACCCAGAAGTGGCCTTATTCTCCAAAGCATCAAGCTATTTCCTATAGCCTTAATTAGGTGTCTAGGGTCCTTATTAGGAGCTTGGCTGTTCCCAACAAACAAGCTTTCGGGAGCAATGCAATAATCCCAGGTGTTCCCAACCTGCCTTTCTTTTTCTGCTACCCATGTATCAAAAGGACAAGCTACATCGACAATAAAGCACACCCTACTCTCCTTTTCCAGCACTACAACATCAGGTGGTGAAGATGATGATGATGATGATGGTGGTGGTGGGTGGTGGTGGTGGTGGTGATGATGATGATGATGATGATTATCATTATTATTAAAACTATCCCTAGACTCCATAGACTTTTTAAGTCTTTGGATACTTCTCTTGATATAGTTAACCGTGTTTATCTACAAGTCCGTGGGCTTCCTTTTTTGCACATTACAACAGTTGCAACAGTTCGCTGGGAAAAGTTTTTGGGAAAGCTTCGAGGACCTTTGCATTAGATAAAAGGAAAAGTTGGTGGGTTTCGAAACAAGGTTTTCATGGGAATTTTCAGGTCAACCTTACATGGTTTTTTGCCTTTTTCTCTGGCCTCCTTGACTGAATCATGCTCATTCTAGTACCGTTTCTAAGATCTTTTCACCATGCACAAGTTAAATGACAAAGTTTTCCTTGCCATTAAAACTGATGATGTCTCAAGTAGTAGAAGGAGTGCGGATCCGCATGGGAAGTTATGGCAAGTTCAGGGGTAATTAGGTTAATTATAAACAGCTTCCACTGTCATTCTTTTATGGAGCATTGTGTGTGTTGAATCAGTGACAGCTGGCACAGTTTTAAAGGGATAACTTTGACCTTCTTGCAAAAGTGAGAATTAAGAGTTGAAGTGGATGCATATATGCAAAGGAGATGTATTTCTTTTGTTAATGGCATTGCCAAAGCATGACCGCATTAAAATATGTTCAAAAATATGTTCAAACGTGCGAATTTCATAACAAAGAAAAAATTGTCACAGGATATTCTTATGTTAGCCAAATATACTCACATAAACTGCTTTTCATGGTGTGGTTTTCTTGATCATAATCCAGCCACGGGTAGCTTTTCAGCCATCGCGGCTAGAATTTCTTTTGTTGGATCATTGACATCATTCAAATTTTCATGAGCAACTTGCATTGTTGTGCTGTCTTTATCAGATTCATCTTCACACTGCTTTCTTCATTTGAAAAAATATAACAAAGGTTTTGTCTCTTTTCAGCCATAACCAATGTCTTTCGTTCACATGGTTTGCTCAAAAAAGAATCAAAGATGGTGCCCGCATTATAACAAGTGTTGTTTTGGCTTTGGTCTGACCAATCACACACACTGTGATCTTGTAAAATACATCCAAGATGGCGGGGGTTGCGTTGTTTGGTGTACAAATTGCGGCTCAAACTAGGGATTTTTTTGCTATATGGAAAATTGTACCCATCTCTAACATTAATCACTACCAAAAGACACATTTAGAGTATTTCATATTTTATTTTCATTTCGCACATTTGTCATAATTTACGAAAATTTGTTAAGACAAATAAAAATTGTCTCAGACTATGTCCGAAGACTGACCAGCGTGGATCTGAATCACTGAATTCTTTTACACACCAAAAAATTCTACCTGTAATCTCCTATTAGGGGTAGTTGTGCAAGTCTTTCCTGTCCAATAATCTGTTTCTGTACTTGACCAGCTAAGTTTCTGTTCATGTACATGTAACTGCTATAAACCTCTAAATTTTTTTTTTTTCTGTTAATTTGTAGGAAATTACAAGAAAAACAAGAAGCCGGAACTTGTGGTTGCGATTAAAGGTAATTAATTTCTGATATTGAATTTTATTAAATTCCCAACCTGGCATAATGTATTTCTAGCTTTCTCATTGGTTTACTGGATCTCAGTTGTCGTGCATTATACCTATTTTTGTCCTTTTTACGGGAAATGAGTGCGACAGCAACAGCATAATAATTTTACAAACATGATATTTTTTTAATGCTTATGAGCTATACACCACAAAATGTGCCAGTAGCCAGTAGCTTTGCCGCTCCCACTATTTGTTTGCCACGTGCATTGTTGCCATTGCATCCATCTTAGAGGCTTCTCTCATTTTCTTGAAAAGCGAGGGCCTCCTTAAGGCATGAGCGGTAAGCCACAAGGTTTGTTGCATTGTGCATGAATTGTGGTTGGACCACTAAGCAATCACATCTCAATTTGGGTTCATCGTATTATAATAATTACGTTGGGTTGGGTAGACTCAGTTGCCTAGCAACAAACCCTTGTCAAAGAAATTGGTCAGTTCTTTTTGTGGCTGTTTTAGCAGTGAAGAAATGCTATTGGCAAAGGATTTTGACAAAAGAAGTATTTTAAAGAGAAAATAGAAGTGGTTCCATAAACGTTGCCTTGAAGATAAAGAGTGAAAATTGGATTAAACAACATTATTTTTGGGTTATGTCTTGCAACACAGACAACAGCCAGACAAGTTTGCTTCTGTCAAAATACTTTCCAGTTTAAAAGTCCTTCCTTTTTGCTACAGCTGCAATGTGTTATTTCTAGCAGCAGACAGAGCGAACCTCATTTTATAATTTTGCTCAAGAGTGAAACATTTTGTTTGACAATAAGAATTCTCAATTAAAACTGAAAAGGTAAAATTGCTTTGTTGAAAAGTTTTTGGTATGTGGATTTTGTTACCCCTGGCTTCTTAGGTCCATTTCAAAATATAAGCATACACTGTAAATGAAAAAAAAACAATTCATTATTGTGCTTGTGGTTTAAAAAGGTCTTGAGACATTTTTCACTAAATTTGTGGTACACATTATTACAATGTTTCCATTTGGGTTTCCATCAAGTTAATGTAGTTTGTTAGAAAGTTTCCCAAACGTTAAAAAGAAAATAACATCTCAGATTCCCAGGTCTAAATTGCCATGATTCAATAATATTATGTTATTGAGTCATGGAAATTTGTTATTGTTATTGTTGTTGTATAGCACTCAATAATGCAACAAAAAAGATGAGAATCATTGAAACCCAAGCATCTTTTGCCATCAGTGCATACATGTAGATCAGATCCCTAAATGTGAATGAGAAATTCCAACAATGATTTTCAGTTACATAGTAGTCATTGCCCACCCTAGAGCAAACAAGGTTTTATGAATATCATACTGACCACAACACCTGTGAAATGTGTACCAGTGATGTTTTTATTATAACTTTAATGTATAACAAAAGAGGATGAAGTATAGTAAGTATACTGGGTAGTTATTAGTAAGCCCCTTCCTGTACGTCTACTCTTCTCAAAACTAGACAACTTGTAAGAATCAATAGAAGCGTTTTGTCAATGACAACTAATCCATTGCAGAAAAATATACTTTAAGTTTATCTAACTGCTGCCAATTGATCTTGTTTTTTGGTGCAAGGAATTGAATTTTCAAGAATCAATCTTCCACCATGTACTTTGTACTCATATCTGTCACGTGCAAAAGATGGGTAATATGTGGACTATATATGCCTGTAGATAATCTCTTCATGCATGTAGTCATTAGTTAAACTTCCTTTTAATTTCACGCCAAAAAACAGCGAGTTAAACATTGTTCAAAGTGCAGACGATGTGACCAGTGCTCAAAGATATTAAGTCACACAGCCAAGGCTTGATTTCTCAAAAATTAAAATGCTTGGGGTTTGCCCAGGCAGGAATATTGAAGTTTGTATAACTCTGTATAACGCGGCGCGTTATACAGAGTTCTCTTTTCTGTGAGATGCTAGGGAAATAGAAGATGTCTGCTATTAGCCCACATGAAGGTTAATGTATGAATTCTCTTAAATAAAATATTGATAATATGTGGATATCTTGCTCTGTGAAGGTATTAATATCTATATGCCCTGATAGCTTGAACGTAGCACATGGATTATAATACTATAATATTTTGTACGTGTAGCACTATTAATGTCTTTTTAAATTGTGAGATCCATTATCTTGGTTCCTTTTCCCCATTGTTTCTTATGAAGATTTCTTCCTGTGACAGTCTTCGGCCCCCATGTTAACGGCTTCAATACTTTCAAACACTTCTCTAAACTGCTTTTACAGTTCCTAATATGTTTAGATTGCATCTCTCGTTTCAACCAATCATCTACCTAAAACTTGAGATAGAAATGAGCAATTTAAAATGCATTTTTACTAGAAAAATTCGAATAAATTTCTAAAAGTAACGAAAAAAAGCTTCAAATCATGCGTTATTTTTTGCTGCCAGGCCCTTTTGCACAGGCGATTTTTGTTGCATTTCATAGTGGAAATTTAATTTGTATTGTGACGATTTTGTTGGCCAACATAGGTGTCTGGTTACTGTGGCGCCGCAAATGACTGATAAATCGCATAAAAAGAGACTCGCGCGCGAAGGCAGTGTCAGGAACACACCCCTCTCCATCGCGTTATTTGTCAGGCTACGAAATATATGTATTTAGAATATTGACTAAATTTCTATCGTTCCGACCTTTTACTAAAATCATTTCCTTTTAGCCAAGAAAGACGTTAAAAGGAAATGACTGGAAAGTAAGAAATGGAAGGGAACTCACTTGTCACACCATCCGCAAGACTTGAAGCAGTGATATCGAATGAACTTTCCTTTGTTCCCGGGCCGCATGCAGTAGTTGAAGTCTGGTTCAGTAAACAGTCTGCACAGGCGGTCATAAAAGTCCTTACACCCTGTTGTAATCAGAAAAATAAAACACAATGACTGGAAATAATAAAGCGTCAGCAAGCACGGCCATGTTTTCTTATACACATGGTAGCCATCTAAAACGGCAGCTGAGGGACAGTCTGGAGGAGCAAAAAAGTGTGTCCGTATTGAAACTGGACGTAGTGGCATACGGGTTTTATCCAGTCCCCACAGCGGCAGGAGCTTCGAAACTCACCCGAGACTAGTTGCATGACTGGAAACAAGCAAAGCGCCGTCTCGCCCGCTCTCTCTTTCCCGCTGTCTTTTGCGCGCCAATTTACGGAGTGTGAGAGAGGTTGGAGTATGAGTCAGGGATTTATCATCGAAAGCGGTCGCTACTAGCATATTGGAGAGATGGCCGCTAACTGGAGCTTGCAACGCTCACATTAAGGCGGTTTTTTAAATGGTAGTTTGTTTTATTGTCTTACGTGAAACCGGTCATGGTCAAAAAAAACCTGTACGGTATATTATCACAGTGCGGTGCCCGCTTGTGGGAGGTTAGAAACGAGTGTCCGCGGCCATCATGGTTTAGATGAGATACAGTAAGCTCTTAAGTGCAAAGACGCTCTAGTACGCTGATGTTCTAGCTAGCTATTAATGTATCATTTTCGAGTCCACAAACTGTTGTCCTTTCGTCCGCGAATTTGCACTTACACTTGGGTAAATGCAGAGATTGTATGGAAGTTCAGCAAGAAAACATAGAAGCAGAAACATGTCAGAGGTCGAGGGCCACAAATTTCCCAGTAAATGGTCCCAGTTTAAAAGAATACTCAGTATTTGTTTCACTGTGAGTGGAGAGCGAAGCTTTGCACTCGGTACTTGCGTAAGACCCCTCAGTAGCTCTCGACTCTAATACTTGTGAGTCGAAATCGAGCGCCTGTTCGCTGGCCATAGAAATTCAAACCTCCTGGCGTGACCTTCCTCTGAACAATAAATTATGTCGAATGATGTAACGTTCATCAAGTGTCCTTAACGCTGCGCGTGCAAGCATGAACAGGTTTGAACAATTCTTATGTTTTCTTACTTGGACACCCGTGTCCGTTTTCCCCATAAGCAGGAAAATTGTTCCAGCAACATCCGTATTCGCTTAGTTGACATCCTGGGGGGCTGAAAGGTTCTGACAAATAAGAGGGAAAAAAATCATAAGTCTGCTTACTTAAGTTATGACTGTCCGTTGTCCAGAAATCCTGAACGTTTTCGCGCGCGAACTCAAATTATTTTGGAGTAATGGAGTTCTAGAAGAAAAGCGAGAACAGTGGAAGAAATCGTTGTACGCGATCAAAGGACAGAGCTACTCTAGCCTGTTCCAGGCGTTCAGATAGTGGGGAGCGGTGCGAAGTGAAAAAGAGCGCAAAAAAATAAAAGCGACGGAGGAGGAGAGGTTCCCGCACCTCTCTCCCCAGTCCCCCTCTTCTTTTCATCGCTTTCTTTACTTCGCACCGCTCTCCACTATCTGAACTCTTGGAACAGGCTAGAGCTACTTCCGTTCAGCAAGCCGTTTCTAACACCATCTTAGATAACGACGTGCAAGAGTGGAGGTCCTCTCCCGGTGGAGGACACCCGACCCCCGTAAGGTGGATTTCCACTGTCGCGTAATTTTTACATGCGCCACGCGCGTAAATGAAATACAGGCCATGTATGGAAGGTCGCGCTTGCACGTAAAAGTTAAACCTCGCTAAGCGCGGCATTCGTACATTGCCTCTAGTTTACTCGCGCGTAAATTATACGTACGTACGCACGCGTATTAAAGCGAGCGAGTCATCGTCCGTTTTCGTTACTGGGCGAGGCCTTTAAAAAAAGTACGCGGTAGAATTCAGTGAACCTGCTATAAGCTGTGTTAACCTTTGCCCATTACAGGTGATTTGTCTCCTAGTAGGCTTAGCTTTGGTGTAGACACAAAACAGGACACCCGTAACTATAGGAAAAGGCACATAAACTAAAGAAAATCAACTTACTACAGAATTGGCACTCCTTTGAGCAGTATGTCGACATGACGCGCTTGAATTTTTGGCAGTAGCCTGACTCCGCCCACGCTTTACATGTTCCAGCCTTCGATTCACGTTCGCCATCCTTACACACTAAATATGAAGTGAAAACACTAGGTCATACACCTAATAAAAGTGTGGGCGAATATTGTAAAGCGAAGCAAAGCGCGCGGATCTCACACACCCCTCGCTCCAGGCCTTTCACTTGACCTCTGGCGCGTTCTTGACCTACGCAGAAATACTAGCCTGCGTAGCTGGCGGGATCGCTCCCGCGAGAAAACTTTTGGCAGAGGAGCTACCTAACTAACCCCCATTTACAGATGAGGGAATTATAGACAGAAAAAATATATTGACGTATCAGATTTTGTAATTCAATCTACCCGCACGTCCACATCATAAAAAGCTTCCGTGTGTTTTATCACGATTTTCAAATTGCCCGAGGTTGTTTTTAAGTAATAAAACATGGAGACAATGATAAAAATAACCTGCGTTTTAGCGGGCGCTTTCTACAGTACCCTCCGGGCTCAGTGTCCTATTAACGAGGCTCGATTTAGACCTCAACAACTTCGTCGCCAGGGCTTTACCCGACGAGGTTAAGACTGCAAAACAGCCCGTATTTTTGTAGCCTGCGTAGCTTGGGGAATTGTGTTTGCGCGTTTGCGAGTTTTCGCAGCAAAGCCAAGCTAGCGCCGATTTCAAAGCGTATCCTCCCCATTCTCCACACGGTTTCGCATGCAAAAGATGAATCACTATAACGTTTGTAAGGAGAGCACACCACTATGGTGGGTAGGTCTCCTGAGTAGGGTCAGTTGCAGGGTGTTCGCACAGTGATGCTAAGCTGTAGTAGCAGACCTGTATTTGTCTGTTTGAATTACTGTTGTTCGTCGAGTCGTTTATTTTTCGACACGCAACATACCCTTACAACAGCGGAAGAAGAGAGATGAACACAAAGGGGATTAAACTGTGACCAAAATTGAGGCAAGGGTAAATACACTGCACAAAACTTACAAGGACGTGGCAATCTCCTCAGTTCATGAAACAACAGGTTTTGAAGTTTAGAAAGGGATATTCATACCCCTCCCATCCGTATAAGGTTAGTTTCAGCAGAGGGAAGGTTGTCCCATTAAGAACAGCCTTGTCCCAGGGCCATTCTGACGGAAAAGCGCTGGGAACGAGCCGGGCTGATGAGGTTTTTCAGCCGATCCGAGAAGTCAGAACTCAGTTCAATCGGCGTGGCTAGGTAGTTGATTGACAAGAAAACTGTTTTGAGATTTTAGGGTAAGAGAGGGCTGTAAAGGAATTAAATTGAACTTAAGTCCAACGATTTATACTGAAGGACAGCATAAATAACATAGAATAGCATAGATTTTGTCTGTGATTCACGCGAAGACTAGGGGGAAAAAAGAGCCATTGATGTTTAGCTTCGAATTAATGGGTCATAGTTTCAGTTTTTTTTTTCCATGAGGTCCAACACAGGAGTATCAGTTGGCTACCCCTTTGAGCCAGGGGGCTCCTGTTTGAACCGAAATTCTGGAATTTTCTTCGTTGGTTTGGAGTGGTAAAACAAATTATCAGAGAAGTAGCTTCAACTTGTCTGTCCGCAGCAGCAATAAAATCAGGATGCTCTGCAATAGAGAAACCTGACTTAAGCCACTTTATTTGCTTTTTTTTAAACGAACATATCAGATGAAAAAATTGATTGAAGGACCAATTTCCGGTGCCTAAACGTACCAGAGACAAACCGAATACCTACAGAGTAGTTTTTCTGTGCGCTGTTAAATAAAAGCGCATCGATCCAAGTTTAGTGGCAATGATTGCTTAACTGTGGTTCAACACCAAAATTTAGCAGCGGTACTGAGTAAGTCAACCTTAAGTCTTGCCCGCGACTTCCTTCGATAACTTGTTAATCGCGTGATTGTTAATTAACAACATCTGAAATCGCCTTACTAGATGTTGCCATACGGCGCTTGGTTTCTAGTTACTAGACAAAAATAGCCTAAAGACTGCAGAGCGCTCAAAGAAAAACTTTACAGTAAGAAGCAAGGACTATCTCCTGTCGCTCACAAAATTTATGGGATTTCTGTAAAATAGTATCGTTGCTTCAGCGAAAAATAAAAGTTTAGGGAACAATTAAAGAACCATACAACTGAAATATGTCTCTAACACGTGTCGTAAGGGTAAAGTCAGCAAACATCCTTATTTCGCGTCGGTAACTCGTATTAAAAACACTACTTAAACTTACCTAACTGAAGTCGACGATGCGCTCACTTTATCTCCCTCCCCTCTCCCCATCTGTAGCTATGTGTTATCTGTGCTCTTTTTTATGGGTATTTAAAGCTACTTAAAGCCACAAGAAAAGAGGCAAAGAAGTTGAAATAAGGATTCGAGGTGACAACTGGGAATCGAACTCCGAAATTCCCGCAAAGAAGGCTGCGCACTACTGACGGTGCCGCTAATCCTTGAGAGTAGAAGACATAAAATGTTCGACAAAGACACTGAGAAAAGCTGGAAAACACTTTAAGCAACACGCTGAAACAGTTCCATGTATTTAACTTTCTGGTCTTTTCAGTGTGGCCAAGTGTTTAGGACTTCCTGCTACATAAGTTCGATAAGTTAGGTACTGTCTAATAAGATTGCCACTGTTTTTGTCGAGTATGTTTTTTGCTTGTTGGTTTGTTTGTTTTTTATTTCTTCATGCGCGCGCGAAACACTGATAATGGCGGTGTTCAACACCTTGTCAGCCACTCGTAGGGATTACACATCTTCAAGAGCACAGCCGCTGGGAGCGCAACATAAGGAAGCGTAATGAAAGCTCTGTCAAAGCTGTTAGTACGCCAAAAGATAAAATCAGCATTAGGGATTTACCAATATAAATCTAGTCTTTGCCTCGTCGCAAAAGATCAATCGATATCAGAAAGAGGAGTCTGGAAAGTTTTCATGATCAATATCGTAGATTGATGAATAGATTGTTACTCGATAAATTGCTCAACATGATACCCAGCGAGTACTGAGGTAAAAATGGTACAAAGAAGTATCTAGAAGAACTGGAATCTATAAAAGGTCTTGTGCGGCTTTACTTTGAAGTTTGTTCTTCTCGAATGCTGAACCATCAGCAGACCAAGACCTAACTATTCCCTTTACTTTGAAAAAGAAAACTAAATGCAGTTTTAAGTGGTTTAGACTTATCTAATTCTAAGAGCCTGAGTATACGATAATAATAACTTTATCATACGTAACATCAAGAACCTAAACAGATATACACCACAAGATGGTGGATTAGCCCCCGGATTAGCCATCATTTGCTCGATAGCTCATTATCCGGCAATTAGTCTCTAACACCGAAAACTCATCTTCTTCCTTCCTCGTTAAGGCAACGCGCGCGTGTCAGTCTCGAGTCAGTCGTTCATGCGCAATGGCTTTTGAGGCGTTCAGATCATGGTTTGCGTTTTGAAAGGCGTTCTCTTTCAGCCATAAGTAGTAAGCTTTAGCAACGACGACGGTGACGGTAAGAGAACGTCAAAAACGCAATAGGTTCATATTGCGGGCAAGACAACAACTTTGCACGTGCACACGCTTTTTTGTACGTTTCTTTGCCGTCGCTACGCCACTACAACGTGAAGCTACCTAATTTAACGTTTTATGGAGGACGTTTCAAAACGAGCGACGACGAATTTTTCTTTCTCTTTCTAAACTTAAGTGCAGGCCCCAAGTAATCAACTCCAGGGAAATTCGCTACATTTGACATTTTCAGCGAACTGGAATAAACGCGACACAGTTTCAAAAAAAAGAAAACGCTTATTCATTTTTAAAGCGACGTTCTCACTGCCGTCGCTGTCGTCGATGCTAAAGCTCCCTAGAGTCACTCTCCGGACTTATGCTACAATTAACCCAAAGCTACCAAGATGAACATTCCACAAAAAGTACATAAGTTAACGTTTTATCTAGTACTGATTTGCAGTACTTTAACTAGCGATTTGAAATACTGCCGTGAAAAATAACAGTATCAGTGGCCAGTTTGACTATATATGACCTCACGGCGGAAATAAACAACAGACGTACCCGGCAAGTCCATTGGATAGAGAGGGAAGTAGGGTAGACTATATCTGCTCCTTCCTCTTGTGTTTCTTGTTTGTCTCTTTGATCTCCCTATATGTCTTCTTTCCACTGATTTCATCCAAGTACGCAGAAGAAACATTCTGTGATCTCTATCGATCTTCATTTTGGGTTCTGAAAGCTCTAGAAAAAGAATTTCATCTAGTTGTTAACAGTATCGTGGTTTTCGTTGGCTCAGTTCCGAATATACATGATTAAATAATCGAAAACAATAATATGAATTTCTAATCATTTGAAGAAAGCAAGGAAAGGAGAGACATTTTCCTCCAATAATATCAATATTCCCATCTGCAACTTGAAATACATGAAAACAGTCTCAGATTGAATTGCACTGTGTTTTCAAAACATTGCAGCCACCCTGGGGGGGGGGGGGGGGGGACCCAGGGGGGGGGGGGGGGGGCGGCGGGGAAAAAATGTGGATTTTATGGGGGGGGCGAAACTCTTTTTTTTTTGAGTTAAAATTTAAAAAAGGAAAAAGGAGACAACTTGGAGACAAAATTCTAAAAATTTTGAAACAAAAAAAGTATCCACCAAAACTCATTTTTTGTTTTTTTTTTTAGTAAGTAAAAAAAAAAAATAAAATAAATGTATAAATATGAAAAAAAAAAAAGAAAAGGATAAAATTTTCCCCAAAAAAAAATCAGCTCCCCAATCCCAAATTGAAAAAAAAGAAAAGAGGGCTGAGTTGAATTGCAAGTTGTTTTAAAAAAAGGGGGGCCCCCGGGGGGGGGGGGGGGGGGGATCCCAGGTGATGGTGGGGGAGACGCTGGTCAGAAAATTGGAATTAATTGGGGCGTGGCAAAGCTTTAGCTCTTAACGATACAATTCTAAAATAGAGAGTGAGCCAAATCAGTGAGAGCAATCATGAATCATTTCAGACACAGAAAGTGTCACAGAATATCCGCTTCATTCTTTTTTCTTTCTACTTTTCTTCTTCTGCCTTTGTTATCAAGCACTGCCCTAGGATTTGTGTATAAACATATTGACCTTCTGGTACCATGTTAAATCCTCAATTTTACAACCATTCCCGTTCTGTTAATAGGGAGTCCCCCCGGGGTCGATCTTCTGCATGGCACGTTTCAAGAATTGCACGTACATAGTTGAGATCATAAAAAGAGCTTAGCTGATGAGTATAATACACTGAAATGCTTGTTCGAGAAAGTGTTTAATATAGACTGGTACGAATCAAGTGTTAATAGCTGGATTTGCGTTTGTTTCTATATGGACTCTATACCTTTCTTAGTTCCACCATTGATGAAGTCCACCAAAATTATTTGAATCAGCAGGCTAACAAAAACAGTGGCTTTCTTTATAGCAACCATAGTGTCCTGACCAAGACTAATTCAGTTGAGGTTCAATTGCAGCATGTACATTCCCTTAACGCGTTTCCCACGCTGTGCGTGCAGCAGTTTGTCTCCTGTCATCCCTTTATAGATTGCGTCACAATATCTTGGTGATATATATTACACATTCAATTTCGGAGATTAGCAGGTTGTGACGACAGTAATATGATCAGTTCACTGGAGTTTCTAAATAAAACATGTTCCAGCCGCGTTTTTTGTTTAATAGTCTGTGAACGATACGAAATCCTCTGTTTGACCTTTCAAATGCAACACGCGGTCACTGGGTGGATGGGAGGATTTTTTTTTTCGGGTGGGGGATGCTTAAATGACTTGATTTTAAGACTAAAATCGGATTTTCCATGGATAACGCTGGGCCGAGGGAAAGGGGTGTATGAAAATGTCACGGAGGTTATTTAAATGTTTATTCTGTCTTTTGCAAAATTGCCGTAAGTAGTAAGTTGGTACGTAACTTGTACCTACCCAAAACAGAAGTATCAGTAAACACTGTTCTAAATGCGAAATGTGTAATACTGTTTAGGTTGATGAATGATGTTGATGATGATGAATAAGCTGTTCAGTGCAAATGAGCAATCGTAGACGTCGATGGGTGGATAATTAAATGCCGCATATTATTTAAGATATCGATAAGCATGATTGCCAAAGTTGGCCGGGGGGCCACGAGGGAAGTTTGGGTAGATGCATGGGTACCGGTCTGACCCTATTTTATGACAAAAATTACTAATTTCGCTACCCTGTTTAAGACAAAAGACCTTTCTTTATGACCCTGATTCGTTTCGTTTTGCATACAAAATTTCTGCAATAAAACATCGGTGCAACAAATGTAGACCACTCATCGTCAACCTTTACACTCTTATATAAGCTTCCGGTCCAAAAAGACACCCAAGACGCTTAATAGTGAAATTGTATATCCTGCTTGTGCCAGGGTGGACTCGCAATGATCATCAAGTTAGAGATGAAACTTGAACAATACTGGCACCTCCTAGCCTGGGACCAGGCTCCGGGGTGGGGTAAAGGGGAAAAAACGGAGTGAAATAGCAGAATAATCGCTGAGCAAAGCGAGCCAGAGCGGTAGATGAGGGTCTCAATGGGGTTAACCGATAGGCGTAAAACGGCCAAAAATTTAGTCGATAGCCGTAAAAATTGAAAACTTTTAACCGTTAGCCGTAAATTGGGTAAAAAAGAGTTAACCGTAAAAGAAATTAATTGTCCTCTAGATTTGTTAATTTTATGGAAGGTGTTTTAACTCGCTTATGGTTGCGTTTTTTATTTTCCGGCTACTTTGACTCCGTACGCGCGTTAGGCGAAAAGCCTTTTAGGTGTATCTCGGGGAACTAATTTTTCCTATAGCGAAAGAGGGCTTCTCAATGGGAATTAATATTTGCGATTTTCAGACGGTCGTGCCTTCGAAACACTAGTGAAACAACACGCAGAGCTGTTTGTAAAACACGTTACAGATAAACAATATTTTCCTGTTTTTCTCTGACGCTACGGTAGACATTGCCATGCCTAGTCCCTGCATGTACGGCGTCTTCCCACGCAATCTCGGTCAAGGCAGTTCGGTGGCGAACTCGCTCTGACCACGTGACCCGAAACGCATTAGCTGCGCGGAATAATGAGGTCTACGGACAAGGCAACAACAGGCAGTCGTTTTGTACAGTCCTTCGCTATTATTAAAAACACTGGACACGGGAATTTTGTTATTGGCCGTTTTCAAAGGACAGCTAGAAAGGGATTATCCAGACTCGCCTGTGTACAGTCGCCCCCTCCTCCACAGCGTTAGACACCCCTTCTCCGATTTTTTCTGCGGGGAGGTTGCGGCTGTACACAGGCTCAGTCTGTAACGGATAATCCATCTTCCGTACTTCAAAATTGACGGATAAAGTCAGGGGGGTTGTTCATTTCAAAATTAAAACTATTCCATTTTCAAATTGAGACGTGTTACCTATCTGACGCGAATCATCAAACGGATAACCCGTCTCAAACGAATAAGCCGTCTCTAGTGTGGAATGTCGCGCCCCGGCCTTCAGTTGGGCGTTCGCGTGTCTGCTCACTATTGGCATTTCTATGTGTAAAATGATATTAGAAGTGGAATACTTTATAAAAGTATATTGATCTATCAAATGTAAAAATTTTTCAATAGAATAGCTTATTTTATCCCGAGCTGATCCGAAGGCCTTTATTTTGCTTTAAAGATACAAAAAATACAGGTTAATTAATATTTAACTTTTTGAAACAAAAGAAATTAATTTTTAACTTTTTTGTTAACCGTAACTGCAAAAAATGAACCGATAGCCGTAAAAGAGCCAAAATTTTAGCCGATAACCGTAAAAGACACCACCCCATTGAGACCCTCGTAGATTTGGGAGGGTGAAAGGGCCCCTCTCCAGTCGGCTCGCTTCATTCGCCAATTTTTTTGGCCTTTGCCGTTTCTTTTTTTAGCCTCGCCCCCCGCCCCCCGCAGAGCCTGGTCCCAGGCTATACTGCACCAAGCCAGGGAAGGCTCCGTAGCTCTAACCTGTCCATCGGTACTTGGACAATAGCTTCAACTCTGTCACCAGAAACTTGTACTCCTCGCCTTTTTCTAGTGCAGTATTTAGAAATGGTCGTTTACTGTATATTTCTCTTTAAAAAGGCGATCATTATTACATCCAAACACTGCACAAGGTTCTTTTTTCCCATTACAATCTCATTCTAAGAAAACTTTAAGAAAAAATTTCCCGAAAAGCGCTCGAAAATACAAACGAAATGTGCTTATGCCCCCTGGGCATCCTATAATACTCCTTAAATCGAATTAATTTAATATGGCCGCCGTATCGGTAAAAAGGTCTATTCAAACCCTTTGGGGATAAAACATTTTGTTTCAGGAATTTCCATATCATTTAAATGTGAATGCAACATTATAATGCAAATACAGTACACAAAGAATCTTGACCCCGGGAGATTTGAATTGGGTACAACACTGAGTTAGCCGAATAGGTCTATTGGCCACAGAATAGACCATAATGGGGTCAGGGGCACATACCAATCAAAAATTAACCCAAGCACCCCCACCCCCGGGCGCGATTCCCGCCGCTCTCTACGACACCGGGAAGGAGCGCGGGCTCATTTCCCGAACAGCGGCTGGTAATCGAGCTTCTGTTTGAAGATAATGCCCAGTGCCGGTCACATGTTACCTTGACCGGTACCCTAATGTTACTGCCTTACAAAATGTATTAACCACTGCGTTTTGATTATCATTGAATTGGGAGAGGGCTCACTTCCAGATGTCCAGAATCATTAAATAGGCCATACTGACTAGTATAAATGCAAAGTTTAAACAATTCTTCTTCGTGAGGGGCATTAGACCATAAAACCTCACCCTGTGGTAGGGCATTTGACCACTATATCAGTGTTCAAATGCCTGGGGAGTGCCATTGGGGAGGATGTTGATGAAGTTCGGAATTGATCGGAGCATCAGTAAACGGCGCGGAAGGCCCAAAGGTGGAAATTGTTGGCTTCACTGAGCATTGCTCCTAAGTTGGGCTCCCAAAACAAAAAATCTTGGATCCGCACATGATCCGCGCACTTTCGGCCATTTTGAAGGAGAAACCCGATCGAACAATGTTCCCGAAACATTTCAGGGAGGGAAAAAGACCTGGGAACGAGGTTCGGCGTGATGCGTGACATAAGCGGCTACGGATCTACAAGCATGTAATTTGCTGTCACGCGAAATGGAGATTACGTAATTAGAAAGTTGAATACATGAACGTGTGCACGTTAAATTGGGTTGAACTGCGTTGCGTCCAAGTCGAAGTTAAAACTCTGTCATCCAGGCCAAGGACTCAAACAAAGATAATGTTTGGCTGGCTAAAAGGCGAGGAGAAGCCAAAAGTAGACACAAGCGAATTTCATGTCCCTGAAAGCTACCGTGGGTCCGAGGGACCGCGGTTTAAAGTCTTAGAAAGCAAAGACGACTATGAAGCTCGCTTATACGAAAGCTCACACTGGGTAAAGACAAGATTCGAAGAGGGAAACCTTGAAAACTGCTCAAGCACCGGATTTTGGCGTCTGTTCAACTACATAAGAGGCGAGAACGAAGGAGGACAAAAGATAGCCATGACAGTACCGGTTTCTTCACACGTCGAACTCGACGACGATGGCAATTGTAAGGATTTCACGATGGGTTTTTATATGCCCGCCGAGCATCAGGCCAACCCCCCTATTCCCAAAGATAAATCAGTGTTTCACGAAAAAGACGAGGGTCTTGTGATGTATTCAAGGCACTTCGGCGGCTTTGCCAAGGAGAAAGATTGGCGTGAAAATTATCAACAGCTGAAGCAGTCCCTCGACAGAGATGGCAAGGGGTATGTAAAAAACAAGTACGTGACGGCGGGCCATGACCCTCCGTTTCGATTATTTGGCCGTCACAATGAGGTTTTGGTCTTGGCAGACCCACAGCCGTCTACAGAAGGCAAGAAACAAGGCGAAGAATAGGGCAGGATGAACAAAATTATGAAGTGGTTATGCAATATCTCCTGATTATGATTATTGTGAACATGGCTTTGTTGACAATTCACGCCCTTTTGATTACATTCGAAACATCATCTCTCTGATCACCTTTCTTCAAGACCTGATTACGGTCATTTTGAAGTGAATACACTGAACTGACTTTCTGCTTTCAACAGGTATATCATAGCTAAGCTAGACCGTCCGAAACTATTGTAGGTTAAATAGGGAAAAGTAACGTCAAATGATAATTTTTTGGTTTTTGGGTGATAGTGTGATGGCGATAAGAGCCTTAAGGCCCGGGCCTTAAGGTCCCTTATTTGTTACCGTGAATTTAAAATGATAAAAATGCAATCAAGCGAAGGGGAAAAACTACCCTGAATTCACAGAGGAAGGAAAAGTAACAAATTCATGTTTAAAATTTTATTTTTAATTACTGAGTTCAAGTTTAGTCTTTTTTTTGCATGCAAATATACCCCTAGTACGTAGAAAACGTGAGAGAAATCACATTTTTATGCTAACGCTTGCATTACTACAAAAAAACTCAATCGGCGAATTACATGAAAAACATCAC